CCTAAACCCCTAAAACCCTAAACTCAGGGTACTGCGAACCCTGCATCTGACCCCGACGAAGAGTCGATATCTCCGAAGGATTGGTGCAGGGGCTTTGGGCTCGGCTGGTTTAGGGTTTAGGGTTTACACTTCTAGCACACTCCAAAGCCGAAATCTAATCATCAAGGCAGCTATGCTAAAGGTTTAGAGAGTTAAGTTCTAGGTAATCGAAGCCCCTAAACCCTAAACCCTNNCTAAACCCTAAAAACTAAACCCAAAACCCTAAACCGCAGACCCTAAACCCTATGTTAGAATTTTGGGGATTGAGGCGTTAGGGGGTCCTGTTCTCATCAGATCAAGCCCAGGCACTGGCTTTTTCACTTCGGCGACGGCTACTGCGTATCCGTCTCCTTCTACTTGCACCACCTGAAAATAACAAAGAGCCAAGACCCCTTAATGGGTGTAGGGTTTAGCGTTGAACATGCCTGAAATCCTAATATTGAACTCTCCACCACTTCAAGCAGATTCGTACCTGCGCTCTCTGGGAATCTCATGAGGCAGGCCAGCAGCTGAGGCGGTCCAAACCAAGAACGCTTCGGCACTCAGGCATAAGGTGGTTTAGGGGTTTCAAGAAGTTAAAACCGGGTTTAGGGTGCAGGCTCAGGATTCAGGAGATTTCAGTAGTTTCAGTCAGGCCTTATTTAGGGTTTAGAAGTTGGAAGAAGTTAAAGCTAACATTTAAAAGAAAGCGACAGGAGCAAATCCTGAATCCGTCGAAGCCCCTAGGTGCTGACAGCATTTTCTGCTGTTGCAGGGCCTCTGAGAGTTTGCTTCCGCCCTTGATGCCGATGAGAGCATAGGCGCTCCTAGGTCTGATCCGCCAATATAGGGCTTTAATAACTAGAGTAGGGCTTATAGTATCGTGTCCTATCCTATGTGGTGTAGTATGATGGAGTGTGGTATCGTATATAGTATAGTAGAGTGTAGTACAGTTTAGTATGGTATACTGCAGTGTAGTATAGTAAAGTATAGTATAGTACAGTAAAGTACAGCAAAGTACAGTAAAGTATAGTTTAGTACAGTAAAGTAAAGTATACAGTATAGTTACAAGAAGGAACCTGAAGAGTAGTGATTACTATTCAGGCTTCTAGATTAGCCGTCATGGCTTAGATGCGGCAACCTTGAGCTTCAAACAAGAACGGGCCTGCTCCCAGTAAAGGCTCAGGGTTACAATGCTTAGGGCTTAGGGTTTGGGGCCTTTGGGTTTAGGGTTCTTTTTTGAAGACCTGTTTAGGGTTTAGGGAACTTCTACTCTAAACCCCGAACCGTTGTTGCGGGGACTTGTTACCGGTCTTTGGACACACTTAACACCCCGAAACCCTAAACCCTAAGCCTAACAGCCTGAACTCTAAACCAGTCTTCATGCAACTCAGCGTCCGAAAGGAGAGCGGTTGGGGAAATGTGGCTCCACACTCTCGAAGAGCGTTCTCCGCCTCTATCGCCGTGGAGATTTCGGGACTGCACATTAACCATATCACTGAACTTTAGGGCTTAGCGTTGAGGGTTAAAGGTGCTGGTGTGGAAGCATGTTACCATCGATGCTTGCACATGCCAGTCTACAGAATCGACTGGCATGTCAAGCCTCTTGGCTGAAGGCTGCGGAAGGTTCATCCACTGCTCCGACCAGTATCCTTGGACTATACAGCCGCGGCACAGGTGACGAACACAGCCGAACAAGCACAACCCTGCAATGTTCTCGCCCAACATCGTTTCTCAGTCGGGCATGATGCTATAATCAACACGCGTGAGGTCGACATCTACCGGACAACCTGACTGCTTGCTGCTTGGGGACACGTTGCCATTGGCTGTTGAGCTCAGGTATGCAACCATAGACGATGAATCCTTTCATCCGACGCACGCACTCATGAAAGGTGAGGACACACCACCCTGCTCTAGATAAGCATCCGTGAAGGTATCGAAGGTCTCCTTGTGCTTCACCTCGTGGAGCTTAGGTTGTAGGGTTGAGGGACTAAGGTTTAGGGATTAGGTTTAGGGTTCGGGAGGGGCGACGAAGTCTTACAAGCTGGGCTTCACCTCCTAAACCCTAAAACCTAAACCCTAAACCCTAAACCCCAACAAACCCTAAACCCTTTCAAGTCGCTGTCATGTTAGGCCACAGGTCCACGATCGTGAGCCCTCGCGTGCGGGTCGCATAGATCCTTTGACCATTCCTAAGCTCAAGCCCAAGACATCCCCATCGACCCCTGCGCACCGACCGGGTTTTGGGTTTTGGGGTTTGGGTTTTGGGTTTAGGGCTTGTAGGGTTTAGGGTCTATAGGGTTTAGGGTTTATAGCTCAAGCCCAAGACATCCCCATGGACCCCCGGTAAAGGAAACTACAGGTGGGGAGTTTAGGGTATAGGGTTTAGGGTTTAGGGTTTAGGGTAAAGGAAACTACAGGTGGGGAGTTTAGGGTGTGGGGTTTAGGGTTTAGGGTTTAGGGTAAAGGAAACTACAGGTGGGGAGTTTAGGGTATATAGGGCTTCTACAAGGCTCCTATAAGGTTTTCTAGACCTTCTATAAGGCTCCTATAACGGTAGCTACCCACCTGAAAATGTCCTAGACCCTGTGCACCGAACCACTCCGGGAACAGATTTGTCACCATGCATCAACGGGTTTAGGGTTTAGGGCTTATAGGGTTTAGGGTCTATGGGGTTTAGGGTTTGTAGGGTTTAGGGTTTAGGGTTTGTCGCCATGCATCAACCAGAACTCAGCCTTGTTCCCGTCTGAATATCCGGCGCTTCGTACGACCAACGACTGCTCGCCTCGGATCGCACACCCATGTTGCGAGCGGTGCGTGAAAAAAGCAGTGGACGCCCACACAGCCCAAAACTCCCAAGTGACGGTTTAGGGTTTAGGGTTTAGGGCTTAGGGTTTAGGCTTTAGGGTTTAGGGCTTAGGGAGGTATACCCTATAGATCAAACTTCTGTATACTATAACCAAAGGCATATTCCTGCGCTCAGGAATGTACCGTGAATGCGAAAAGGAAGGCCCCTCTAACCTAAGGCGCAAGTTCCTTAAGTTAGGGGGCCTTGGGCTCCTGTTTCCGCGATGTTCGGAACCTTACGGTTTAGGGGTTTAGGGGTTTAGGGTTTAGGGTTTAGGGTTTAGGGTTTAGGGTTTAGGGTTTAGGGACCTTGCCCAGCTGCCAGGACCGGCTGTTTCGCAGCAAGCTTCCTCAGATTTACCGGGCGTCTCCAGAGCGTCGGCCTTCAGGACATATTGTAGCGCTCCCCAGAAGCAGTTGAACATCTTGCCTGAGGTAGGGCGAAGGGTTCCATTCAGGGTTCCTTTAGGGGATTTAGGGGCTTAGGGGCTTAGAGGTTGAGGGTTTCGGGATTTACGAATCTAAGTTTTCGGTTTAGGGTTGACCATCTTGCCTTGGATCGGTCTAGCCGAACACCAACAGCAACCTTCGTCACAAGCAGCCCTCACAGTAGCCCTCGTGGTAAGCCTTATCGTAGTTCCTTTAGCAGCATGATGGCATTCTCTAGCTGCCTCCGGCATTCCTAACCTGAGGACACCTGGAACCTGAACACTAAACCTGAAAACCCTAGCCACCCTAAACCCTAAACCCGTAAACTGCCCTAAACCCCTAAACCCTCCCTAAACCCCTAAACCCCTGGAACAGCAACACGGAATTCACTCTGTTCTGCCACGTGGCATAACGGCGGCAGCTTCTCCTCACTGAATCGGGTTTGGGATTTCGGGCTTGGGGTTTCGGGTTTAGGGTTTCGGCTTTCGGGCTTAGGGTTTGGGGTTTAGGGTTTCGGGTTTAGGGTTTGGGATTGCGGGTTTGGGGTTTTGGGCTTGGGGTTTCGGCTTTCGGGCTTAGGGCTCTTGGGATGTTTCAACTTCGCTGCTTGGAACCCAAGACGAGAGTCCGGCAGAGTAACCGTCGCAGTTGCGACGGCACCTCCGCTACCTTCCGGCGATATCTCCTGGCACAAAAGGTGCAGCGGTGATAGGTTTAGACATGACATGAGGGCTTCAGCTTAAGGCTTCACGTTTAGGGTTTAGGGTTTAGGGTTCAGGGTTTAGGGTTTAGGGTTTAGGATTTAGGGTTTAGGGTTTAGTTTAGGGCTTCAGGTTTAGGGTTTCAGGGTTTAGGCTGTAGGGCCTGAGCTGCCCATTCACCAGGAAGGCGACCTCTCGTTTAAACGTATGGGCCCAACGTGCTCGCAAACGAATGAAGCCATGACAAATATCAGTTCAGACTGGATATTAAAAAACTGAATGCTCATCAAGGTCCATACAAGCTCGTTCAGGCGGACTAGTCCGTTACCCTACAAGTAGAAGTGCTCGGACGGCAGAACTCGCACTTCGCTCTTTTTGCGGCCATTGCAGAAAACCGGAGGTCTGTGTGAAAAACACTGTCCGCCGGACGGATTACAGGAATCCGGTCCGGTCCTTTTGGCTGCGGTCGGACCAGCCAGCCAGGAAAAAAGGAGAAAGTGAAACTCCACGGACAGTGTGAAACGCGGACCACGGAAAGGTGAAACAGGTGAACGGAGGGTAGCGGACGGTGAGCAACCCGACGGCCGGAAACCCTAACCTCAAGGAGGAGAAAGGGGACGGCGGTGGGAAGTCAAAAACGCAAAGCCGACCGTCCTGCGAGCCAATGGCTGTGCGGACGGTCGGTTGCCGTTGCGTCCTATCCTAAACATGACTGATCAAGCTCAGTAACTTTTTCATGAAGGTGGCAAATTCCCCGAAATCATGCTGGATCAACGGTTGTTGCCA